ATTATGATAGATATTAATACAACTATATTAATAAACACCTTAAATGTCAATGGTCTATACACACCGATTAAAAGACAGAGATTGTCAGAGTGAATCAAAAATCAAGACCCAACTAACTATATGCTGTCTATAAGAAATCCACTTTAAATATAAAGACACAGAGATTAAGAGCAAAAGGGAAGGAGAAAGAGATACCATTTTAAAGATTTTATTTATTTATTTTTTTCCCCCAAAGCCCCAGTAGATAGTTGTGTGTCATAGCTGCACATCCTTCTAGTTGCTGTATGTGGGACGCGGCCTCAGCATGGCCGGAGAAGCAGCGCGTCGGTGCGAGCCCGGGATCCGAACCCGGGTCGCCAGCAGTGGAGCGCGCTCACTTAACCACCAAGCCACGGGGCCGGCCCCAAGAGATACCATTTTAATACTAATCAAAAGACAGTGAGAGCAGCTACATTAATTTCAGACTGAGCTGACTTTAGACCAAGGAGAGTTATCAGGGATAAAGACGGGCAACACATAATGATAAAAAGGTCAATTCTTCAAGATAACATAACGATTCTTAATGTGTAAGCACCTAACAACGGAGCATCAAAATACATGAGACAAAAACTGATAGAACTGTGAGAAACAGATAAAGCCACTATTATAGTTGGAGACTTCAAGACTCCTCTATCAGAAATGGACAGATCCAGCACGAAGAAAATCAGTAAAGACATAGCTGAACTAGACAACAACATCAATCAACTGGATATAATTGACATCTATAGATTACTTTATCCAACAACTGCAGAATACACATTCTTCTCAAGCTCACACAAAACCTTCACCAAGACACCACGTTCTAGACCATAAAACACACCTTAAAAAATTTAAAAGAATAGAAATTATACAATGTCTGCTCTCAGACCACAATGGAACTAAAAATCAATACAGAAAGATAGCTGAAAAATACCAAAATACTTGGAGATAAAACAACATACTTCTAAATAACACATGGGTCAAAGAACAAACTCAAGAAAAATTTAAAAATATTTTGAACTAAATGAAAATGGCAATACAACATCAAAATTTGTGCAATGTAGTCAAAGTAGTGCTTGGAGGGAAACTTACAGCATTGAATGAAATATGAGATAAGAAGAAAGATCTAAAATCAATCATCTAACATCCCACTTTAGGAAACTAGAAAAAGAAGAGCAGATTAAATCCAAAGTCAGCAGAACAAAAGAAATAATAAAAATTAGAGTAGAAATCTATGAAATAGAAAAAAAAGGAAATCAACAGAAAAAAAAATCTGGTTCTTGGAAAAGATCAATAAAATCAATTAAGCCTTTAGCCAGGCTAACTAAGAAAAAAAGAGAAAACACACAAATTACAAATATCAGAAACGAAAGAGGGGATATCACTACAGATCCCATGGACATTAAAAGGAGAATAAAAAATATTATGAATATCTCTATGCCTGCAAATTTGATGACCTAGAGGAATGGACCAATTTCTTGAAAGACACAATCTCCCAAAACTCAGACAAGAAGAAATAGACAATTTCAATAGGCCTTTATCTATTAAAGAAATTAAATCAATAACTATTAACCTTCCAAAACAGAAAGCACCGGACCCAGATGGGTTCATTAGTGAATTCTGCCAACCATTTAAGGAAGAAATTATACTAATTCTCTATAATCTCTTCCAGAAGATAGAAGCAGGGGGAATACTTCCTAACTCATTCTATGAGGCCAGCACTACCCTAACAGCAAAACCAGACAAAGATATTACAAGAAAAAAAAATTACAAACCAATACTTATGAATATAGATGCAAAACTCCTCAACAAAATATTAGCAAATATAATTCAACAATGTATAGAAAGAATTATATACCATGACCAAGTAGGATTTATCCCAGGTATGCAACACTGGTTCAACATGTGAAAATCAATTAATATAATCTATCACATTAAGAGGCTAAAGAAGAAAAATCACCTCATCATATTAATAGATGCAGAAAAAGCATTTGATAAAATCCAACACCCATTCATGATAAAAACTCTCAGCAAACTAGGAACAGAGGGGAAACTTCTTCAACTTGATAAAGAACATCTACAAAAAAACCTACAGCTAACATCATACTTAATGGTGAGAAACTAGAAGCCTTCCTGCCAAGACCAGGAATTAGGAAGGCAAGGATGATGCCTCTCACCACTCCTTTTCAACACTGTACTAGAAGCACTAGCTAATCAAATAAGACAAGAAAAAGAAACAAAAGGTATAAAATAGACTGGGAAGGAAGAAATAAAACTGTCTTTATTCACAGATGACATGATTGTCTATGTAGAAAATCTGAAAGAATCAACAGAAAACTCCTAGAACTAATAAGTAATTAGTACATGTGCTGCCAAAGCAAGCTTGGAATTAATAATTAAAGCAAGGTTGCAGGATACAAGGTTAATACACAAAAGTCAATTGCTTTCCAATATGAACAATGAACAAGCGGAATTTGAAATTAAAAACAGAATACCATTTACATTAGCATCCAAAAAAATGAAATGGTTTGGTATAAATCTAACAAAATAGGCACAAAATTTGTATGAGCAAAACTTTAAAACTCTGCTGAAAAAAATTTAAAAAGAACTAAATAAATGGAGAGATATTCCATGTTCACAAGTATGAAGAATCAATATTGTCAAGATGTCAGTTCTTACCAACTTGATCTATAGATTTAACACAATCCAAATCAAATCCCAGCAAGTTATTTTGTAGGTATCAACAAACTGATTCAAATTTATATAGAGTAGCAAAAAACCCCAAACAGCCAACACAATATTCAATGGGAAGAACAAAGTTGGAGGACTAACTCTATCCAACTTGAAGACTTAATATAAAGCTAAAGTAATCAAGATAGTGTGGTACTGGTGAAAGAAAAGACAAACAGATCAATGGAACAGAACAGAGAGCCCAGAAATAGACCCACACAAATATAGTCAACTGATCTTTGACAAAGGAGCAAAGGCAACACAATGGAGCAAAAACAGCCTTTTCAACAAACAGTACTGGAAGAACTGGATATCCACCTGCAAGAAAAAAAATAAATAAATCTAGACACAGACGTTACACTCTTCTCAAAAATTAACTCAAAATGGATTATAGACCTAAATATGAAACACAATACTATAAAACTCCTAGAAGATAAGATAGGAAAAAACCTAGGTGACCTTAGGTATGGTGATGACTTTTTATATACAACATCAAAGGCATGATCCATGAAAAAGCTGATAAATCTAAACTTCATTAAAATTAAAATTTTCTGCCCTGGGAAAGACACCATCAAGAGAAGGAGACGACAAGCCACAGACTGAGAGAAAATATTTGCAAACGCCATAACTGATAAAGGAATGTTATCCAAAATATACAAAGAACTCTTAAAACAAAACAATAAGAAAATGAGCAATCCAATCAAAAGATGGGCAAAAAGACCTGAACAGACTCCTCAAAGAAGATAAACAGATGGCAAATAAAAATATGAAAAGATACTCAATATCATATGTCATTAGGGAATTGCAAATTAAAACAACACAGATACCACTTCCAATCTATTAAAGTGGCCAAAATCAAAAACACTGCCAACACCAAATGCTGTCGAGGATGTGGAGCAAAAGGAACTCTGATTCATTGCTGCTGGGAATGCAAAATGGTACAGACACTTTGGAAGATAGTTTGGCAGTTTCTTACAAAAATAAACATATTCCTACCACAGGATCCAGCAGTCTCCCTCCTTGGTATTTACCCAAATGAGGTGAAAACTTATGCTCACACAAAAACCTGCACACAGATGTTTATAGCAGCTTTATGCATCATTGCCAAAACTTGGAAGCAACCAAGATGTCCTTCAGCAAGTGAAAGGATAAATAAACTGTGGTACATCCAGACAATAGAATACTATTCAGTGATTAAAATACAAACATGCTGGGCTGGCCCAGTGATGCAAGCGGTTAAGTGCGCGCGCTCCGCTGCAGCAGCTCGGGGTTCGCCGGTTTGGATCCCGGGCGCGCACCGAAGCACCGCTTGGCAAGCCATGCTATGGCTGCGTCCCATATAAAGTGGAGGAAGATGGGCACGGATGGTAGCCCAGGGCCAGTCTTCCTCAGCAAAAAAAAAGAGGAGGATTAGGAGATGCTAGCACAGGGCTGATCTTCCTCACAAAAAAAAAAAACAAAAACAAAAACATGCTACCAAGCCATGAAAAGATATGAAGGAACCTTCAATGCACATTACTAAGTGCAAGAACCCAACGTGAAATGGCTGCAGACTGTATGATTCCAATGATATGACATTTTGAAAAAGGCAAAACCACGGAGACAGTAAAAGGATCAGTGGGTGCCAGGGATTGGGGGAGGGAGGGATGAATACAGAGGATTTTTAGACCAGTGAAACTACTCTGTATGATACTGTAATGGTGGATTCATGTCATACGTTTGTCAAAACCCACAGAATGTACAACACCAAGAGTGAATCCTAATGTAAAATGGACTCTGGGTCACTACGATGTATCAATAGTGGTTCATTAACTGTAACAAATGCACCACTCTGGTGGGGGATGTCAGACAGTGGGGGAGGCTGTGCATGTGTTGGGGCAGGAGGTATACGGAAATCTCTGTATTTTGTGCTCAGTTTTGCTGTGAACCTAAAACTGTTCTAAAAAATAAAATCTATTAAGAAAATTTGTGAACTAATACATATCATCCTGTCTTTTCTATTTTTTCTTTCAACAAATTTTAGTCACCTCCCAGTGAACTTACTTCATTACGTACTAATGGGCCACTAAGCAAGTCAGCAAAACACTGTTCGAGGGCAGTCTCCAGCTGCCCTATGAAATCCATTCTCTACCCCACAGGCCACATGCTCCAAATGTCACATTCAGCTTGTTCACAATTAGTGGGCAAGATGACTTCCTGACCACCAGCCACCAGCCCAAGGCTGGACTGGCCGCTGTGGGCTGCTGCGGTACCTGGAGGGAGGGTCTCCATGCTTTGTGCTTTCTCATCCCCGTTGCTGTGATGAAGGTCTTTCTTTTTAATTGGGTCAATTTCATTCCAGTCCTCCTAGGGGGAAGAAAAACACCAAATGAGTCGATTGGTTCTTCAAGCACACCTTCATTCATCAGTTCAATAAACACTGAGTCTTATGATGCCAGTGGGCCCTGGGGATGTAATGAGAGAGAATTCCCATCTCCAGGACCTGCATCCCAGAACTTCTCCGGGTGGTAGAGGTGCAAGGGGAGAAAAGCACGGGAGTGACCTTTTCCAAGAAAGGATTTGCATTTCTCTCTTCATTTTATATTTGTATTGCATATCTATGGGAAGGAAATAGTCTGGAAACTCCCATGGCTTTGAGGATCTGTGAAGGTGGAGAAGGGAGATAGGAAAAGTAGATTAAATAAAATAATTCAATAGTGGTTAAATTAAAGCCATTAAAATCAGGGTAGCTCTCAAGACATCTTAGATGGTGTAAGGACATCCTAGGACCCTATGGCCCCTTTGAGGCCTCCTCAGAGGCTGTTAAATGATTTGTTTAATTCCACTGAATAACAGCGGAGGGAGAGGAAAGGACCCGCCAAGCTTTTCCTAGGGCTTACTCTAATAAGACTGCCAATGGAACAGAGCTGCAAATTAAGGGCTTAATGTGAAACCAGAATAAGATATAAACTGGCAGAATTTATTCAACTCATCATCTGTGCAAACGATTTACTCTAATATACCAACATTAAATCAAACTAAATAACAACTCCATGACCACAGATCTAAATATATTTTTCAACCACTTGGAATCTGATTTCTGTGAATAAAATAAGAAAGGTTTCTGTAGTAACCCAAATCAGAAATATCCTGTGGCTACTAAGTCTCACATAGACTTCTGTGAGCCAAACATTGTCAACTGGCCATTTTCCTGAGCAGATGCTATTAGGATGATGTGCAGCATTAAGCCCTCCCTGAGGGGAGACCCAACCAGTTCTGTATGGGTTTGTTAGCTGGCGTTCCTCCAGATCAGGCTGCACGCTGTGCAAAAGCTAACCGCTGGAGACACTGTGGCTCTTCAAAATGTAAAGCGAGAGCTGCAAGATGGGTAATCCTCAGGGGCTGGGCCAAATATACATTTTTTCCCAAAAGCAACTTGCTCCACCAATAATCTGCATTTCTACTCAAAAGGACAGTCATTAAAGAGAAACCGTGGCTTAACTTCCTCCCTCTAGAGGCCAGTTTTTCAACTTCAGTTGCTTCTGTAGTGAAGTGATACAGCTGCGTTTATCCCATCAGGGCCATCACGGAAACCATGGGCGGGGGCACCCGGGGAGGAAGACGCCACTGCAGACACAGTGGGCTAGTGAGAGGAACCACCCTGTGGTCCTAGCTTCAGCCACCACTGCAGGGCATTCCTCAGGCCTTGAAGTGCCCCAAGTACTGGGACTTTTGAAGATCTTACCCCACATTGTAACAAATGTATGAAAACGCATCTGCATCCCAGTTTAAATATTTTTTTGCTGCAAAAAAAAATTGAAAGATATTTATAATTTGGCTTTGGGGATTATTTGGTTATAAATAAACTTTCAATTTACTATTGGCAATGACTTCATAGCAATCTTGGCAAATGCATAGGAGTAAGAGAATCGAACCTACTAACTGCCTTTACGATATCAGGAAATATGTGTGAATACTCAATTCAGCAAGTAATGAAGTTACCAGAGTCACACTGTGTAGACTTTCAATTAAGCATTACTAATTTTTATTTTGTAGCTTGCTTGTAGCATTTTGTGGCTAATCACTTTTTTCCTGCAGGCATTTGGCCTACTACATACACCGGCTAATGGATCAAACCATTTCACCTTGTACTCAAATAAAATCAAAAGTGAATGTTGCCATTTCATTTCATTCAGTGGGGCCAGTGACTTTGGTCTTATTTTCTACATGTAAGAATCAAGGCATTATCCGTAGTGTTCACGAAATCAGCATCCACAAGTCAACCATCAATGTTTTCTCAGAAAACAAACGTTTCCTTCTTCTCACAAACCAGATTGGCTAGTCCATGTGTAACATTCCTCAACCTCCCTTTCACCTCCCCACCATAAACCAAGGCCGGGGAGGAGGATGTGCTGTATGACTAGGGCATGGCAAAGTCCCAAGCAGGTGAAATAATGCTGAGGGCCATTTATGGAGGCCCACTATGCACCAGGCATTGCACACAGATACTTTCTCATCCCTGCAACATCTTGGCATTTTATAATTCCTATCTTACAATGGGGACACAGAAGATCAGAGAGGGTAAGCAATTTGTCCAGGTTACATAGCAAGTGAAAAGCTCAAACTGGCCTTTATAAATCAGGATGGGGATGGCAGCCCAGGGCTCAGTTTAATCCAAGTTACAAGAGCCTGATTCTCACAATGTCACAAAAATCCCAGGATACATTTCTAGGAGGTCATTCACAAAGGACAGCTTTGTTCTGGACTCCCAAGCCAGAAAGTACAAATTACCATGTTAACTACCCTCTCCTAGAATAAAATGACGAGGCAGAGGAAGAAAAGGAGGAGCCACCTCAGACACTAACACTCTTTACTAGGTGCCAAGGCCCAATAACCTGTGCACACATTAACCCTCCTGACAATGCTAGTACTACCCCCATTTTACTGATGAGGAAGCTGAGGCCCTGGAAGTTTAAGTAATACAAAGTACATAATGAGGGGAGATTCGAACCCCAGGGAATTTAGTACTGGAGTCCCTGGTCACAATCACTCCACTGTACTGCCTTTAGATAAAAGATAGCCAAAATGAAAGTAAAACAATGTACAAAAAAAAAAGTAAAACACGGCATTAACTATCTCAGAATCTCAGAATACGTCTGATCACCAAATTCCTGACAGTTCAAGAGGGTTGACTGGATTCACGGGATGAGACATTGCCCAAGTACAACCCACCACCTGTCAACAGCTCACCCTTCCAGACGCTTGCCATTTTCCACTCTCTTCTTGTCACCCTAACCCACAGCCTCTGCTGGATATTAGGCAAGACCCCAGAGATATAGTGGGGACCAGGCAGCTTTTCCCTGGTTGAGTGTACACAGTCTGCACACAGACAAGCATTCGACAATGACAGCACAGAGTCATGCCCTACACAGTGCAAGGGCAGGGACTCCACGCGGAGGGCTCTGAGAAGTCTGTGCATGAGAAGGGACACCTTAGCAGGAATCTGAGGGAGTCAACAATTGACCTGGCAAGGAGAAATGACGGGGGATGGGGGCTCCACTTGGAAGGAACAAAATGAAAGGTAGAAAATAGGAAGCCATGGACGAGGTAAGATATTCTGAGACTTGAGGCTTGTGTTCTGGAAACACCCCTTTGGCTGTGGTGTAGGGAGCAGGCTGGAGGGGGACAAAGGAGAGACCAGGAGGCCATTAGGGCAACGCAGCAATGGAAGGTGGTGAGCTGGCTCCACTCCAGGTCCTAGAGATGCAGAAGGAGACAGGCACAGCCAGGGGATGCCTGGAGGAGGCTGAGAGAAGGAAGAATCAGAGATGGCAGGTTCCTGACTTGAAGATTTCATAGACGAAGTGACATGCAGCAATAACAACACGAGAAAGTTGTTTGGGTGGGGTAAGGAGTGGCGCTAGGAAATCAAGACAAATTTGTTTTGGAAATGCTGAGGTTCCTGCGAGATGCTAAGAGGACGTATCTGGAAAACAGATGGAGACACATGTCTGGAGTTCTGGAAAGGCATGAGGCAATTAAAGCTACTGGTGAGCATGAGAGAGACTACCCAGGGAGGGTGTGAGCCAAGTGAGAACAGGGTCCCAGGGCAGCAGGAGACGCCAACATTTAAGGGACAAGTGGGAAACATCGTGCGTTGGGAAGAGTCCTGGCCTAGGAGCTGGAGCCTGGGGTTCTAGCGCTGGCTTTTGTCAATGACTGTGGGGGTCCGAGGAGGTCGCCTCATTTCTCTAACACCAGGACACTGGGCTAAATGCCTCGAGGTCCCTGTTCGCCCTGGCATTCCCATGTAGCAGACACACTCAGCACTCCATCGGACTTCCTACCTGTTTCACACGTTTGGTATCCAGAAGCATTTCAGGTCCTTTGGGGGCAGGAGGGCTGTGTCACATCTTTTGCACACCCACAGTACCAAGTGTGGTGGGGGACTTACAGTAGTTGCTCAATAATAAATGCAGTTGCAAACAAACCTCTCACCCTACTTACTCAGACTGATTTTACTGGCTTCTCCCACTTCGCAGTGGAAGCTTTTCATTACAACAATCGCCCTCCCATACATTTACATACATTATAAGACTAATTTACACCAGTGGCGGCTCCGTTTAAAAATGGCAATGTACTGAATGCAAATTTATGGAGAAGGCTCTGGTTCCCAGTAACCATTGGTATCCAGGAGGTGCTACCAACTGATTTGTTTGTTTTCTCCGTTAAGAGAAAATGAGGCAGTGACAGATAGGTCCTCTTTTTTGTGACAAGTATAAACTGCTGAGATTAGAGGAGTAATGATGTGGTTTGATGCTGGGTCAAAAGTTGCAGAGAATTCAAAGCCTGTGATCCAGTAAGCCTGCTTTTATTTCCCAGGATGCAGACCCATCTCTGCTTTGTTTCTCCTGCCCTCAAAGGAGGGCGGTTGACACTGAATACATAATGACTAGCTCACAGATAGACAATGCTCAGACAAATGTAGACAAGGGCGGGCTCAGTGTTCTGATGGAAAACTGAATTCTGTCAGGGAAATTTCCAGAGGTCTAGGATTCTCTGCCAACTAAATCAAGAAACATGGAGCAGGGAGGATGCCGTTGTCTTCACTCAACTTGACCATTTGGACCACAGTGTTGGATCATCCACACACAACCTCCAGAAAGACCTAGAGAGCCTCATCTAGGGCCTTGAGATTTTCTCTTCCTTGTTAAACGGCACTTGAGCCAGAGAATGCACACACTAATTCCTGTCCTCCTATTTACTAACTGACCTAAGTTGGTAGCTACCATTATTAGATATTTGAATTTGGTTAGTTTTCATAGTCTAAAAACTCAAGAAATGCACCTTGCCCACATTGTTCTTAC